GGTTGCGTGAGAACAGCAGTGCTGGTAGTGTTATTTGGGATTGTCCCATTAAAACATGCAAGTGACAGGATGTTACAGAAAGGCCGATGTACTTGTTAGCTGGGGTGTGTGTTTCAGTTCACCTCGTATTAAAATACAAAGTGAATTTGAAGTGGATGCTGTGGTTTGTGTTTGGTCAAAGACAGGGCTAAAAAAAATAATTCTTTCTAATTGTTTGTGGCTTATTTTCTTGTGCTGACAAATATATTTGATGTGGTAGCAATTAAAGATATTCTGTTTCGATTAAATTGAGGGACAGATACTTGTTTTTGAAGCATGCTGGTTAATTAAACAAGAGTTAGTAAATGGCAAAAAGCTATAGGCAGGATGCTTTCTGACGATATGCAGTTCCTTGGGGTGAAATTAGTCACTAAGCAAAATTTTCTGATGAGGAAAGAGGTGATATTTTCAAGATATTATATACTTTGTGTGAGCTTCTTATACACCAATAGAGAGAGGAGCTGTGTTGAAGTGCTGGTCGTGTTGTTGTGTTGCGTATGGTACCTCGCTTGTTCTTTCTGGTTTGGATTCCTTATTCAACTCTAATAATTTAGGCAAGAGAGAAATGTAAATTCTGTTTACCAAATTGGATGTTTGCAGCACTGAAAAAAAGAGAGAGATTAAAAATGGTTTGAAGTCTCTAAAATCTATAATGTTGTTCTGTAGCCTTTCAAAAGGGGGAAAAAAAAATCAAAATAGCCAAATTTTCACTACCAAAATAATATACAATATTTAAAAACAATATAAATTGCTATTAGAAGGGCTTTGAAATAAACAATACGTTCAAACAGAAAGACAGGGCTTTGCAGTATTTTTCTTCCCAAATTCTCCCTCCTTTTTGGAAAGGAAAATTGGAAGATTTTTTTCAAATATCAAATGAATAAACAAATACAATTGGAATGAAACGTTATGCTTGATATTTGGTGAAATTTGTTCTCTTCTAAGTATTTAGTTTTTTAACTGCAAGCGCTCTGGAACAGTTCATATCTCAAAGTTTGTGGGGAGAAAATGTTTCAGCATTTTTGTTCATACCTGAGGAATCCATTTTAGAAGTCCATTTTCTCTGTTTGCAAAATACATTTTTATTAGATCTATGTATTTGGGTTAAGACTGACTTAAAATTACTTAATTAGGTTACACTGAAATTCTAAGTGATTTAAAAAGAAGGATTATGGTAATATGACAAAACATAACACCATTTTCATTGAAATCCTTAAATAAAGCCCTTTTAACATGCCAATTTTAAAAATCTATAAATTTGGGGTGTTAAAACAGTACATAATATAAAAAGGCCGAACTCGTAGTAAAATATATAATCCTGTACCAGTGCAGGGATTTTGGAGCTATGTCTGGAATCTGGGAGGAGGTCATTGACACCTTCGGTTTGGAGTGTTTCTCTCGCTGTATCGTCCTCTGTAAGTCTTTGCTATATATATGTAAAATACTTACAAAATGTTTGTGGATGTTTGGTAAGGAGAAAATGCAGAGAAAGAGGTAACAGTGTAAGTGCACTGAGCTAGATGGAATCGGTTGTGTTTTCCAAGGAAATTTTGGAAAAGATACCCAAGTAAAAATTGCTACAACGAGGGATAAATTCTAAATAATTGTATTTGTGCCATTTGGAATAGCGTGGCTGTGAATTGTCTTTAAAAACCTTCATGTAAGTCTCGGAAACAGGACAGCAGAAAAAGCCTTTCCAATTGTGCTTTCTGTGGCTAGTTGTTGGCTCGTAGGCTGATTTCGGGAGCAAGATATTAAAAAATACACTTAAAAAAAAAAAAGCTGTATATGTGGTTCTATTATCAGCGTTTTGTTTTTGATTTTTTCATTTATTTTTGAGAAAAGGAAAATCCGTGTGTGTTACTTTGCTCTGTGTTGTTTATGGTCTAAGGCAAATAATAAATCTGTGGAGATTTATTTTGTTTTAAAAGTGATATTTATGCGAAAAGCCCAGCTGTGAGCTTCCTTTAGTTGGTATCTTAATTTCAGAGACGTAGCAGAATGTTTCTGGCTATTTGCGTTTGTTGCAGGGCCGGAGCAGGAGGCAGCCCTGTGTAGTCTGTCAGGCAGCACACGTCTGAGCACGTTACAGTTTGTAGCACTACAAATTAGAGCCGTTGGAGTTGTATCGCCGTACGGTGCTCTCTTAAAAATGCTCGCAGCCGGGTGGGTGTGCGGGACAGGGCTGGACACGGCGGGGGGTGCCGGGGCAGGTGACCCCGATGCCGTCCCGGTGGGGTGCTGCTGGGAGGGGCCCTGCCGTCCCCTTCGCTGGGCCACCTCGGATGTGGGTGCCGGCTGCGTGGGTGATTTTTGGCTGGCACCGGGCTGATTGCGTGCTCGTACCTGGTGCTTGGTGTAAGGCAGGAGCCGGGAAGTGCTGCACATGTGAATGGTACGTGTGCTGGGCACCTGTGTGGGGCGTGTGGGAAAGGGGAGAGGGCACGACAGCTCGACGGAGCCTGGCACCGCTCTCGCTGCAGGAAAACACAGCGTTCCTGATAACTTTGTTGCAAAGTTTTTTGGGGGGCCGCCTGGCTACTTCCGAGTTAATTCACTCAGCAGCACCAGTGTCGTGAAAACAGTTCGGAACAGAGCAGAAGAAGCGGAGGAGGATCCGTCACCGGTTGTTCGCCAACCGGGGGCAGCGGGCAGTCAGCGAGCCCGGCGCGGCCCGCACTCAGCGGCCGGGCTGCTAGGAGCAGAGCCGCGGGCACAGCACGGCACAGCCGCCAGCGGGGCCGGGCCGGGCCGCTCGGAGCGCGGACGGCGGGCCGCACCGCACAGCACCGGGCCGCGCCTCCGGGGCCCGCGGGGAGCACGGCCCGGTCCCGGCGGCCCGGCCGAGAGGGAGCGGGGTCGGGGGGGCGGCGAGAGGCCGGCCCGGCCGCGGGGCCAACCCGGCGCCGCAGAGGGTTAACGCGGGCGGCTGGGAGTTGTAGGCGCCGCGGCATGCCGGGAGCTGTCGTAAACGCCGCCGCCGCGCCACGCCGCCGACATGGCGGCTCGCAAGGTCGGCGGCGGGGGAGCGGAGCCCTGCCTGCGCTGGGAGCGGAGCTGCCCGGCCCTTCCTCGGCGGCTGCCCGGCTCTCCAGCAGCTCCGCGGCGGGGCTGCGGGCGGCGGGGGGACGGATCCGAGAAGCCGGCGGGACTCGGCAGTAGGGATGTTTGGTCTGAGGACGAGCTGAGGAGGGAAGCGGCTTGTAAACAAGTGGAGTTAGAGTGAGGAGATGCTGCAGCGCGGAGCTGGGAGACGGCATCGACACAGGGGAGGCTTGGAACGTCCGTGTGCCCGCACGATGAAGTGAAGCTAAGATTAATGGGATTCGGTGATGCAATGGCGATCTCTTCAAGTAGAGCTCCGCGGCTCGGCAGCGAATTAGGGGTCGGAGCGGTAGGCAGCAGGACGGCAGCGTGACGCTGCTGTGGGGCTCAGAAAGTACGTGAGTAAAAAGGCCGCCCTCTGGAACGTGCTGCGGGAGGGCCTCCATCGGCTGTGCAAAATGCTGGTGTCGGAGTGCGTGGCTGCTGAGACCTTATCTGCAGCCCTGCTGATCGCCCACGTTCAGATAAACGGTTCCGAACAGATGCAGAATAGGGCTGTGGAGGTTAAGAAGAATGAAGAGTCTGCTTGTTGGGAGACAGAAAAGTTGAAAGTTGTGCGGTTTTTATGTATGGGAGGAAAGGAACTTGCAAGCTCAAGGTTAGCATAGGCAAGCTTATAAAACTGAACGCAGTTCACTGGAAATAGCAAGAAAAGTTCTCACTGTTGTTCTGTAAATGCCCTGGAGAGGTTTCAGATGGGCAAGAAAACTCAATTTCTTTTAAAATAAAGTTTGAAAAATTCAGAAAAGAAGATCAGTGTGTGGCTCTGCAGAATAGTGGGGAGTTTGGCTCAGGAATCCTGAATCTATTAGTCCCATCTATTAGTTCAGTGCTCTTGTGACCCAGCAAAATGGACTATGAGATGGATGAGTACTTTTGCAGTGGGCCCATTTTGATACGGCTGTTGTCATCATGCTTTCCTTTTCCATTATTCAAGTTGTTTTTTTTTCTTTGGGACCCTTACCAGAAGCAGAGTAGTTCAATTATATTCACTACCAGATGCATCTCGTGTACGTTCGGCATTATGTTTACAGAAAGGAAGCTGTGTTCTTTAGCTTGCTCACTTCAACGTGTGAAGTTTCTGTACATTTCCACCCTTATATATCGAATAACTGTTGAGGTGTACTCACACAGCTCTGCAGGACATTCTGTCCCTGGATGTGCTATTAGTAGAAGTCCTCATGGAACAATTTTTAGGAAAATATTTAAATGAAAAACTGGAAGTCTTCTAGGGCAAGGCAATATTGCATTCATGAATGTCTGTACAATCAGCCCCCTTGGGATGTTACCTGAGACCTTATATCTTTCTTCTGCTTTTATTTTTAGGGTCTGTAGTTTTTATGCATTGCACTTAGTGCACTACCAAAAAGTTAACAGAAGAACGTTGACATTACAGAATGTTGCTCTTCAGACCAAGGCTGCCATGGTCCAGGCAGACATTTTAGATTCTTTCCTGGCACCATTGCTATCTGGGAAATCTCCATAACACAGGAAATTAAACAATCGTTGCTCAGCCATCCTTTTTCATTTTTATCTTTTAGTCCACAACTGTTCCAGCTTATTCAGAGAGAAAAAAGTTTTATGGAGGTAACATCCCTTCAGTGGTCAGTAGAAAAAACTAAGTGATCGAATCACTCTCTTCATCAACGCATGCGTTAAGTGCTTCCAGTGGCTCTTTTTCTAGTTGCTGAAACCGAGTAGTGAATAGATTATAGGGATTAAACTTCTTTCATTCCCCTAGAGGTGAGCAAGTCATCTGAAAATGAAAGGCTTATTTGGTAGGAGACAGTATGAAAGACTGAGAATACAAATATATATATATTATCTCTAAATGGCTTCTTGCACACTTGGTCTTTAACAGATGGTAGTATGTGAGCTGCAGACAGAAACTTGAGGCTCACAGGGCAGAAATGTGACTGAACTAAATCTATGAGTATGGAATGAAACATGCTTGGTCATTACTGAAACTGGATTCCTGAAACGTTTTTCTTTTATTGTAAGTTTGATTTTTTTGAAAAAAAAAAAAATATACCTGTTCATGGCATATGCTTTCTCTTTTTCTTCTCTTGACCTTTTTGAATTAGAAGGAAGTTGTTGTCTTTCCCACTGTAGTGCTGGGAATGCAGTACAAGGGCTACAGCCAAGGAAGATTTTCTGACTTGATGTGCTCACGTCATCCTACAAGGCATTCCACTGCAAAAGGAGGCACTTTCACTGGTGTCACCAGTTACTGTCCTCCTCTTGTGCTGGTGTTTCCAGAGGGATAGTGTTTCATACCCCCTGAAAAGGTGGCCTTCTGCATGGGAGCATTATTACGGTGTCTTTTGTCTTTTATGTAGTTTACTTCCTCAATCTCCAAGAATGAAAAAACAGTCAAAGGAGAGGAAATGATAGGGTAGCTCCCTTAGAAGTGCCTCTCCTAGGAAAAAAATAGCTCAGAACCCCTAAAATGATCATACAGTTGGTACAAAAGCTGCTGGTTGTTGTTATAGCAGCATCTACAGGAATAGAAATAGCAAGAAGAGAAATAGGAAGGCTGGCATGCCCTCACTCTCTCTCCAACTTGTGAAAATTTTAGGAAGGGAATTTACATATTTTGGAGCTACTATTTCAGCAGTGCCTTCTTATGCAGAAGCTTAACTAGAAATTTAATCAAGCTATCTTATTAGATAAAAATACTATCTGTACTTGTTTAAGAGTGGTGGTGGTCCTTTCTGTCTCAGGTGTTTCTGTGAGAGGAGTTCAAATGATTGCCACCATTCTTAACTGTTGTTTAGGGAGATGGCAGTTTGATTTAAACTATGAAGGTGTAAATGAGTTTTTGCTCTCCCACCATCTTGCACAAAGAAGCACTCAGAGAGGACAGACTTAGCAGATCACTGCCTGGCTCAGTTACAATAAATTCCCCAACGTTGTATTGTCCTTTAATGCTTCAGTTACAGCCCATGAATGGAAGACTGGAACACGTGGATGTCTTTTTGGCATCTGAAGCTGCCGAGTTGCCTGCTCAGGACATTGGTGAGAGGACATCCTCCTGTTCTGGCCCCTGCATTTATCTGCCTCTTAAGGATCTGCAACAGATTTTCTCTTCTGTCCCTACTAGTGCCGTAGTTAACTCTGTGCCCTGCTGTTTCCTCAAATCTAACCATGAGTGACACATCTTGCTTTATGGGCCTTCTTTGAAGCATAATTCATGGTTGTGAAATACTGGCAGTGGCCAAGACAGAAAACCTTCTGGAAGTACCCACACCTTCTGGTGGGGCATCCAGCATGTGAATGTTTGAGGAAGCATTGAAGGAACAAGGACTTTTCTAAAGGATGTGATGACAAAGCTACTCCACTTGAGTATGGGAAAAGGGAAGTAGTCATGTGGAAGAGATGAAGTGCTGTATGATTCCTGCCCCAAAGATAGGATCCAGCTGGTGCTAGACGAAGTCTGTCAATGGCAGCAGTTGGATTGGATGGAGGTGGGTGGAGGGCTTGGGCAGAGTTTCACACTCAGTACACTCCACAAAAGGATTCAGTGAAAGAGGGATGAGTGCGGTGGTGAAAAGGTGGTCATAGATGAGGAGAAAAAGGTTTCTTATCAAACGCAGTCCATCATCTGGGTCTGAAAGTGACTTCATCATGCAAGGTGATACTGCATGCTGGCAGTGGCACAAGGAACACACATTCCTGAACTTTGTTCATTTTATATGGACAAATATCTGTATCCCTTATCTACAGTTACGAAACTAGATAGCAGAGACATCAAGGATTAAACAATGAGAACACAGTATTTTGTTTCTACAGATGATATTTTCAGCTCAAAATCAATACATTTCAATTGGGCTGTAGGATTGAGAAAGGTTAATCTTCTCTTGCTTCAGCCCGTACTGTGTCTCTTTACTGAAGACGTTCTGGGCTTGGATTTCTGCAGCACGCACAACTATTAGGGTTGTTTTGAAGAAATACTTGCTTGATTTTCAGCGCTGTTGGTGATTGAAAAAACAGACCACCAAACCTTCATATGTATGTTTTTCCAGTTTTGCATGAGGAGTGGATCTGGAGCCTCGTAATAATCTCACTGTAATAATTTATGAGAACTCTGAACAGGGAGTGGGGAAAAAAAATAAAAGGAATTACAAGGTTTAGCAAGAGACAGCAGAGCTCATTTGCTAATTCAGAGTGAGAAGAAGTCAAAAATCCCTGTATAAAATACTAGAAGGTTATACTGCTGTTGATGTTGTTTCCTATTCTATTTAAGAGAAATGGAGTGGACATATTCATAAAGATCAGTGTATACCTGTGTGATGTGAAAATTACAAGCTGTAGACTTGACTAGTTAGTATGCAAACAACTGTCTTGCTTTCATTTCTGTTCAGCTTCCATTGCTACGTTTATCTAGTGTGATTAGTTGTTGAGAAATATGGGACTTTAATCCCTAAAGCATAAGGGTGTGCTGATGATGCCTCCATTTCTTTTAAGAAACGAGAAGATATGTGCAATTGTAGCACAGTGTGGTAACCTAAGAAGCCTCAGTGATTTAGTTTGAAAGACTTGTGTTTCAGGCTTGTGTTTACAGGTTCCCATCCTTCTGATAGAAACTATAGTCAAAGGTGTGCAGTGTTAAGAGAACATTAGAGAAACATTCAGATCAGAAATTGTGCCTGTTTGCTGGTACAGGTGCTTTCAGGAAGGGGAGGGAATACTGATTTTCCAAGATCCTTTTGCATGAGCCCTATAAAAGGGATGGAGGAGGTGCCTAAGAAAAGTCTCAGGACAGGAATCCCAAGCAAGATAGCTTACTTCAACCTGGAGCTGGGATCCATGTATGAAGTGTCCTGAGAGATTTAGTGACCTGTCCATCTGGTTCATGTAAAGAGTTTTTCACTTAAACTAGGCTGGTCAGATCCCATTCTTATATGCTCTTCTGCATTGTACACTGAGGCAGGGTGTCTAATTTGGAGCTTTGGATTTGGGCAAAGAAAAAGTGCAGTGCTCAGCGGTGCAATAGCCGGGCCCTGTACTGGATCTGGCCTCACTGCAATGTGTGTGAGTAATGGTAACAGAGTCATAAGAACAGAATGACTGTACGGGGGAGAGAGCTGCACTTGACTTGCTAGGGTGAAAAACATATTTGTAAAGGGATTCAATTAGTGCTGGGTACAAGAATGCCACTTAGTGAAACAAGTGATTGTACCTCTTTTTCAGCGGCAGAGAAAAGTGACACATCCTGGATAACCAGCAGTCCCCGTTCCTATTCTCGGTGTCCCTGCAGAGCTGATGGCACTGCAGGCTGGGTTAGTCAGAGCCGAGCGAGGGATGAGTGCCAGCCCCAGTGCGCTGTGCTGCCTGGCCACCCGGCTGCATGCCCAGCCTGCCACTGTGGGGGATTCCCAGCCTGCAGGGAGGGGCCCTCAATACTTTGGGAGCAAGGCAGGAGGCAGTGAGCACGTGTGAGGGGCTGCAGTGTGATCTCACCGAGATGTGGGGCTGCCTAGGAGGTACTTGCATGCCAGCAAGGTCACAGGAGATCTTGAAAGTAACAATTGAATGTCTCTAGTGTTTGGCTGTGCCCTCTCCATTCTGGTTTAATTCTCCTTTTTGCCTTCTTTAGGCTGCTCCCTGCCTATAGCTCTGCCTCCCTATTTTTCATTCTCATTTGCTGTTTTACTCACACATGTACTTACCCCTTTAGCTTTCCTAACTTCTTTCTCTGTTATCTCTCCTCTGATCTGCCACACAGTTGGGTCACCTTCCATGTGATGGAGCAATGTAGCTAAGCTGTAGGTTGCCTTACGCTTGCAACACTGCAGCCCCGAGGGAGATTGCGTCTGCAGAGATCTGCAATTCATGCCTGGATTGATAAGTGACGCTGGGGAAGCATCTTGGCAAGGTATTCTCATACATGTGTGTGCATGTTGCTGTGTGATCTCATTCAAAATGTCCGTCAGCTCCATCAGCTCAGCTGACTGGAGGCTCCTTCAGGCTCTGCAACAGCTGAGGGAAATGAGAGCAGGGCTGCAGGGCTTGGGGAAGAGTTGAGTACATCTTCGGAAGGGAGATGCCTGTTCCTGGGAATGTATGATGACCTTAAGCCAGAGATCCAAACCCTCTCGCCTGACCTTTGTTTAATTCTTTCTCTTCCAGTGAGTCCCGCTCCCTGCCTGTGACTCATCCTTGTCTAAATGCAGCCTGCAAGCTCTCGGAGGACTGCATTTCTCTCTGAACAGAGCAACATAAAAAATAGCAACGCTGTTGAATAACCAGTATTATTTTTTAACACAATTTTTTTTAAGGACCGCCTTGCTGTATTTGTGCTTCTCTGTCAAGAGATTTATTGGTTCCCCAAGAGAACAGTGGAGCAGGTTCTGTCGTGACCTACAGCAAGAAGGTAGTTCAGGCACAGGCTCAGGGGCAGCACAGCAGCAGTGCCGTGAGCAACAGACATTAAAATAGAAGGTGGTAGGTTCTGACAAAGGCCGGAAAATCTTAGCACCCACATACTTCCTTCCCCATTTCTGACCCACTTGTACCTGGCAGCATCCCTCTGGAAAATGCGGTGGCCATTATGTGGACATGCAGCTGTTCAGCAGGCTGCCCAGCTTCCCTCTTCCAGCCCATGCCTACACTGTGCTGCCCAACGGGCTGCTATTCTCCACAGATACCCTGTCTGTCCAATTACCTTCCATCCTGCACCTGAGCTCTGGTTCAGTCTGTAACTGGGAGCAGATCTCTTACTGAGCCACAGTGGTTTCTCTTTCCAGATGCAGCTGCAGTGTCCTGTCTCCTCATCGCATCGCCCTCTGGAAGACAGAAGTGACGATCAGCAGTGTGCTGTTGTCCTGCAGGCAGTTGAAGAACCGCTTTGACAGCTAGCAGGAGAACAACTATGCAGTGTAATCACACCTGTCCGTGCTCTTTCTAACAATGTACAGTAGCACCCTATTCCCAGTGAGGGGATGCTGTAACCTCCCTCTGATGATCTGTATTCTTCTCTGTTACTGTAACCAAACTTTCTTTCCACAACCATTGTGTTCCTGCAGAAATACCAAGGATTCCCCACGCAGATTAAGGTTCACAAATTCAGGAAGGGCTTGGACAGAGCAGAAGGAGAATGAAGTAATTCCAAAATATTTGCACTCTGGCTGATAAAACTAGGAGAGCTAACTTGGTGTGTGGGGGTCTGCTGTAGGATAGAAGGAAACCTGGGGGCAAACTGTCTCCTCTTAGACCTGCTGTCAGTGCTGCATGATAAAGGTGGATTTCCAAACTTAGCCATAAAGCTGCAGGTCAGCCAGCAGGACAGCGGCTCGTCCCAGTTCCCACTGCAGGCAGCATGGAAGCTGTGTTGGATCCGATGGGGTTTGAATCCTACCACAAAAACAGTGGTTGTTCTCAAGGTCACAAGCACAGCTTTCTGTTATGTGGTTTTGGAAGAATTATTGTGTATCTATTTATGTAAAATGGAAAATGTAAAATATATATATATTTTCTTTAATAAATCTATGAAACAAATCAACCTTTGTTTACGTTCAGTTTCTTTGGGTTTGATCCCCTTTTCACCTAGCGGCCCATGGCTGGAACCGCGCCAAGGCCGCGTTCTAGGCAGCGCAGTGCCGGTAGCGCATCGTGCCCGGCTCCGAAAAACGCACCCTGCCCTAAGGGCGCTCCTTGGAGTCCCGCGAAAGACGCGGTGCGGGGCCCATAAGGGGGAGAGACGCTGCGCGGGCGGAGCGGGGGCGGCCCTCCCACCAGGTGCGGAAGCGGCCCGTGAGAGCACGGAGGGGGAAGGGAGAGCCTGGGGACGTGCTCGGGCCCGAGGCGGGGCTACGGCATTTTATGAATGGGCTCATATGACGTCAAGAGGGGCGGGAGGAGAGGTTCCTCTTCTCGCCAATCCCGCGGGGTCTTCGGAGCGGAGGGCCAACCGGAGCACGCCAGCCACGTGACGGCCATCTTCCCCGGCCAATGGCGGTAAGAGAGCGGTGCCGACCACGTGGGGCGCAGACCGCAAGTAGTACGGGGGCGTGTGGCCGCGCGCTCCCTCCCCCCTCCCTTCCGGCCGCGCGAGCCGACGGTGGGCGGGGCCGACCGCGTTGCCAGGTTACCGCGTGATTGAGCGGCCCTTCAGCCAACGGCAGGGCGGCGGGGGCGGGAGCGGCGGCGGCTGCGGGCCGGCGGTGGCCGGGAGGGTTCAGTCCCGTCACGGCCGCCTCCGCAGGCAGCATGCTGGCTCCCGCCGCGCTGCCGGCCGCCGGCCTGTTCTACTGGGTGGGCGCGTTGGGCGTCCTGTACGCGGCGGTGCTGGGCGCCTTCCGCCTCCTCAGCGGGCTGCGCGTCTGGGTGCTGGGCGGCGGCCGCGCCGTGGGGCCCCAGCTGGGCGCATGGGCAGGTGGGTGCGCGCCGCGGGGCGGGGGGGGGAGCTCCGCGTTCTGTCCGTCCGCGCGTGGCGGAGGCGGCGTCGGGGACGGGCGCGGGGCTTTGAGGGGCAGCGCCGGGACTCGGCGGGTTGCGGGCACGCTCGGGACCGCGCCGCTGTTCTTGCGCTCTCCGCTCCCCCGGCTCCGAAGCGCTGCTGAACGGGGGCAGCAGGAGGGCTGCGGGTCTGTCGGAGTCCGACCGACGGGTTCCTGGCGGCGCCCCGTCCCGATGCTCCGGCGGCGGTCGGGCAGCGCGGTTCCGGGCCGGGGTTGCTGCGAGGAGCCGCTGCGGCCGCAACGCGCGGGGCGGCTCCTGTGCGCGGAGCTGGAAGGGGCCCTGCTCACAACTCGCTCGTCTCCGTACGGCCCCCTCTGAGGGACCACGAGGAGTTACGAAGAAGTTCTGTGCCGTGGCTGCGGGAAGGCTGGCGTGAGGTTTGTGCAGGCGGTGTGAGAAACTGCGAGCGGTGCGTCTCAGACGGAGTCCTTAGCAAGGCCCTGAAATAAACTTTCTTCCTGCCCGGTAGGACAGCTGGCAGGCTGCGGGTGCTGGTGCGCTGTGGACTCGCAGCAGTGTGGCGGTGCGGGGCACAGCCGGACCCTATCGTGGTCCCTGCAGCAGCCGAGGAGAATCTATACGTGGGTGGACATCGGGCAGTGAGCATCTGCTCCTGGGAGGTGTGAGCTGAGAGTGCAGCAGCGATGCTCTGGGCAAGTTAGTTATGGTGTGACTGCAGCTAGCTAAGGCCCGCGCCTTCCTTTCAGATAGAGAAGTGGAGTGCTGCTTAGCAGTGGCTGGGAAGGGTCCCCAGCTCCTCTCTCTGCCGTGGGCTGCTGTGCGAGGCTGTGCGCTGTGCCAGCCCTGCGCCTTCGTGAGGCACATCGCACGAAGCTACGTGCTGCTGCCCACAGGTCGTTCCCCAGCCACGTCTTCAGCCAGAGCGGAGCCCTATGAGAGCGTTCTCTGTTAGTGCTGCACCCGATGGCTGCTGACAGAAACTCTTTCTTTCCCTTTGTCACGATCACGATCTCTGAGCGTGGAGAAGAGGCACACTGGCACAGCTCAGTCCCCGCTGCTGTCACTCCCCGCTCACCCCTTCCTGCCTTCCGGCCCTTCTGTGCATTTGGGACTGATTTATGAGTTCTTTCTTTGTTTTCTGAGCGGACTTGTGGTTGCGTACATGTAATTGGCTGTGTGCTGTGTCTGGTTGCTGGTGCTTAGGAGGAGGGGATGTGAGGAGGAGGAGCTACTTGAGCCGGTATTGTACTCGGGGAAAATGAAGTTTGTGCTTCTTTAAATAGCAACCGTAGTTACAAAGGGGTCACTTCTCCACTATGACATAAATGTTTGAAGGTCTTTGTGGGGCTTTTCTTTTTTCTTCTCCCCCTGTAGCTCACGCTGGCTTGGTTTTGGCTTCTCTGTGGCGAGCTGGGCTGGGTGGATGTTGTGTCTGTATGGGGTCTCTGGTTGCACCCTGTGAGAATACGCTGAACTCTGGGTCAGCTGCTCCACAGCTTTAATTTGCCTCATAAATTGATGGCAGAAGCTAAGAATAATATCTTCCTTCTTTGGAAAACAGTTTTGCTAAATAAACCTCGGTAGGAGTATGGTGCCAGGGAGTCACTCTGGCAGATGCAGCACAATGAGACCATTGCCCTCCCCTGCTCCAGCCAGGCAGGTCCGAAGGTGGAGGTTCTGAGGGAAGCAGTGCTGAGCTGGGTAGATGTAAATCATCAGCTTTAGGCGTTCAAAATACTCCAGTACTCCAAGACAGAGTGATCATTGATTTCTAAAATCTTGGTCGTGTCAATTACTTCATCTTTTTTCCTCTCTCAAAATGGCAAAGATTTTAATGAGGACATTTAATTGGAAGCCAGGTTTGTTTCAGTGAGGCTCTGAGCATCCTGATCTAGTTGTAGGTGTCCCTGTTCATTGCAGGACAGTTGGGCTAAATGACCTTTCCACTCAAATGATTCTATGATTCTAAAACCCTGGTTTTCTTTCAGGCCTCATGATTCTTTAGGACAACATGCTCTTTTTTCCCACTGCCTTTGGTACAAATGAGTACAAAATAATGAGCAGACATTTAGTGATTACAAAATGTCTGATAGCAATGATGCTTTCTCATGTGGTGAATACAGCTGTACAGTTGTATTGGGGCCAACAAATGTTTGCAAAGATGAGCTTGCCTTAATTAAGCTTCTTGGAGATTATGCAAAAATAACCAAATGCAGGCAACTTGCTCTAGATTTCTTAAAAAAGTATCTGTAAAAGGTCATTAATCAGAGTGGTGCATTCAGCTGCCTCCAATTTTCTATAGTTTGCTTTTAGCCAAAATCCCCACACTCAGCACTGACCCATTCTTTTCCTGCATAAATGCTGAGCACTAACTTTCTCCATCAGCAATGAGGATGGGTGAGCACTTTGCTTGCTCTTGCTGGTTTTTTCTTCTTAATGTAGACCAGGCTTTGATATGCATAGTCTGACATCTGAAAATAGAGACTTCTGGGGGATCACTAAGGAAGATGGGGAAGACAGAAGTAACTGGGTGCCAAGCAGTGAAGTTGGTATCAGTCTCTCTTAACAGGCGGGTTCAAGAGCCAAGACATGTTGGGTGATTCCCAAGCTCTGGTTGACAAGGAAGCAGGGCTAGTAGCCAGCTCTAAAAAGACCTCAACTGTCATCTTATTATAATTTCTAATACATTGAGATGCTTATGGGAAGATGAAGTGACAGGCTGGATGTTGTGCTTGTCAAGAGTTTTAGTTTGATTCCATGTACAGGAATTTGCTTCCTGCAGTCCCTGGAAACTGTGCACTATAAAACAGACCCCAATCCTTATGAGGATATCGGGACAACCATAATGAAATCTCTCAGATGATAGATTGTTTTAGTGGTAATTGACGAGGTTTATGCAGAGGACGTTGGCTGTAGTCCTGGCTGGAGTGCTCACCAGGTGCCAACTGGTTGGTACCTTTGAACAGCTTTCGTAAGTACTGTCATTTTCTCAAGCTCCTTAGCATTATATGAGGAGTTCTGTTACTGGAAGGGTGTTTTCTTTTGTTTTGTGAAGACAAATTTAAATCACTGTTGCACAAATGAGTGCAATCATGCTTTGCAGGCATTTGGCACTGCGCAGCAGTAGTTGACAGACCACATCATAAATCTGTTGCAGATGAAAGCAGCCAGTCCAGTACTGTGCGTGGGAAGGGTGTAGGTAGTGGTGAAATGGGGAGGGATTCAGCCCTCTGTTAGCGCTGCTCACTGCAGGGTAGCAGAGGAGGGGCTCTGACAACTCCTGGTTTTCCTGCACCTGAGTGCCTGGCTGCTGTGGGCAGAGCTTTGCGACAGTTTTCAGTTCTGTCATTCTCTAGCAGAATCCTTTACTCAGGGATTTATCATCTTTGGCACTTTGGATCTGTGGCAATATTATTATTATTATTATTATTATTATTTAATGCTTGTGATTCTAGACCCTGTGCAAATACTCGTACACTAGTTGAGATAAAGCATGGCACTTGTCAAGCCAAAAAGTAATGCTGAGAACATATGAAAATGCACCAGCTTGCTTTTAACCCCTAGTTGTGACAGCTCAAGTCAAATTTTCAGACTGGAGCATGTACTGTTTTCTTGCATGGCTGTTTGCAAGGTGTTTGTGTGGGGTTACTGCATTAAATGTGCCAGTGGCTTCCATGGGGCTGGATGAGTGCTGTGCTCCCAGACAGAGCTGGGTTCTCTGACCCTGTGGCTCCATCCTTTCCTGCCTGTGGGACCTTGCCAGCTCCTGGCCTCTCAAAGAGGCTCTGGAGTCTTTAACAGAATCACAGAATTGTAGGGGTTGGAAGGGACCTCCAGAGATCATCAAGTCCAACCCCCCTGCCAAAGCAGGTTCCCTACACCAGGTGGTAACGTGGACTGCTGCTTTCGTACGCTGACATCTGTTCTGCTTCCTGAGCAGAATAAAGGAGTGAACCTTCTCTGTCATGTTTTCTACAGTTTTGCTGCCTCTCTGCTTTCTGGTTGCAGCTTTTAGGTGTTTTACTCCGCACTTGCTGTTACCGGCCGTTTAAAATGTCTGCTTAGTAGCATTGCTCAATGCTTGTGAAACTCTCCTGCTTGCACACGCCTGTGGGAGGAGGAGAGGCAGAGCGAGCGCTGAGCACCAGGAACGCACCATCCCATCCCCGAGCTGCTGCCTCCCTGTGGACGAGCTCCTGCAGATCGCTGCCGCTCTCGTCTTGGCACCTGCTCAGCCTTTGTGCTGCTGTGCAGCCGCCTCCGCCCGCAGCATCAGCCAGCTCGTCGTCCCCAGCTCCAGAGCTTAACCCGGTGCGATCGCTTCCCTCCTGCTGGTTTTTCAGATACCATTTTTATTTTTCAAGCGAAATTCTGGGTATAATTTTTTCAGCAATGCGGATCTAGCGTCACTGAGGAAATTTAATCAGAATACGAGTGGGCTTTGCCTTATTTAGCAACACTGAAGGGAGAGTTAAAAGGTCCTACTACAGCTCAGGCTGGAGAAAAGAGCTGTATGCACACTTCCTTGCA